GGGGGGGGGGGGGGGGCGCCCAGTTGAGGGCAATCTATTTTGGTTGGCTGTGAGGTGGAGGGAAAAAGCGGATTGGGTATACTGCACGGTCAGGCAGACCAAGCGGTGGATTAAAGTGAAGAAGGTGGTGGAAATCATGTAGCCAGTGTTTGACTTCCTGCAGAGAATGGACAGGGTCGGGACTGCTGCCACTGACATGGTGGAGTTCGATGAGATGATTGGTAGGAAATTGGTGGCAGTGGTGATCACTGTTGAACAGCGGAAGGAGGTAATCGAGAAGGTCACTGATCAAGTGACAATGCTGCAACGGCCAGTTCACACTGTTGCTTTCCTCCTGAACCCAAGAAGGAGGTATGCACCAGGGTTGCACCCCCACCAACCGAGGACTGCGACCGCCGACTGTGTTGCGGCCGACCGGTAGGGCCGACCGCCGACCAGTCAGAAAACAGGCATCCACTGACTTTATTTCCAATCTGAGTTGAGGGCTGTACTGTGCTTGCTGGTCGGCAGTCCGCCGACCAGTCAGAAAACAGGCATCCACTGACTTTCTTTCCAATCTGAGTTGAGGGCTGTACTGTGCTTGCTGAGTACAGCCCAAATCCGCAGAGAAACTTTGGTTTGGGGATTTTTTGGCTGGGGGGACCGGGGCGGGGGGGAGGGGGGGGGAGGGGTTGGGGGTACCTGCTTTGTGGTTATGAGGGACTGTTCGCAGGTTCTGAGGTGATAGAGGCAGGGAACCGTTTCCCGCATATTGTAGCACCCTGCAGGGCTATTTTGGGTCAGGGGTGCTTTGGGGTTCTGTTGGGGAATGGTCGTTAACATTAATACAGATTAATCCACAGGACCACAGAATCTGCACGGCTCGTCGACATAATACAGAATTCAATCCAGGGACCGCAGCAATAATCTCCCTGGGGGTATGCCTGTAACGTGCATTATCTGACGGTTGGACGAAGTGCTTCGCCCCTCTGGAAGCTGTACCGATAAACTCAACTCTCTCATGCACAGCCTGCACGCAATCTCCACGAGCCCTGCGACGTAGCAGTGGTCACCCTCTACCCTCGGTCCCCCCATTTCCAACCTCTGACTGTGTGAGCGTTCTTTCTTTGTGTGCACCAGTCTCAGGCTCAAACGTTGGCCGATTCCCCGCCATGGTGCTCCCAAAGAAGAAGAAGAAGAAGAAGAAGAAGAAGAAGAAGAAGAAGAAAATGACGATGTTCTCCAACACTAGAAACCCATGACTTGTCCGAAAAAAAAAAAAAAAAAAAACAGGGGTGGAGGTGGTGATGGGAAGAAGAAGAAGAAGAAGAAGAAGATGATGAAGATGATGATGTCCAAGACCAGAGCCCGCAAATTTCCGAATGACAAAAAAAAAGGTGGAGGTGGAAGAAGGAGAAGGGAGCCATTGATTGACCGGCAACGCCACATAGGCGATAAGCCATTGCAGACTCCTAATTTTGACTGGGCTAATCGTTTTGAATCTTTTCCATGGGATTTGTGAGATCTGGTCTGCTTCTTGTCCGATTAATTTTGACCATAGTCTTCTGATTTTGGGTTCCGGGTTTTTTGTCTTGAGGAATAATCTGTAGCCCATTTTCACTGAGTAGTCCTGGATGTCTGTATTGATATTCTTGTTTCTACCTGATGTCCAGGCCCACTCTGCTGGGTCGAATTCCAGGTCCTGGATCGCGGGGTGTCCACTCTGAAGGTTGTTTTGGGCCAGGAGCCCATGACTCTCACTTTCCTGAGGAGGGTATCTAGGCTTGTTCTTTCCACGTCTTTGTCCACGATAGATGCGGAGCCATGAGCTGACAGCAACATTGGGCATGACGTGAACACCGCAACCATACTCAATCTCTGTTCCTTGTGTGAGAATTGATAGGCTTTCCAGGGGGGCTGTTCCTGTATCCGGATTCCCCATTCACCTGTTTTCCATGTAGATTCTCCCTTTAGCAGCTCCTTCCAGCCTTCCAGGATGCAGTTGACAATGGTCTGCAGGTCCCTATCTCGCCGGTGACATCCCTTGAGGCGAGAGACCAGTTCCTGGTCAGTTACCCAATCTTTTTTCTCTTCATCCCATAAGTGGAAGATTTTCCATACTCCATGTTTTATCCATGAAAGCCAACGCATATTCCCTGGTTTGAGGGAAAGCGAGTGATCGCTTTCATCTCTCACCCACGGATTGCCAAATAGGGGTTGCCTCAGCACCTCTTCCCTGGACTTGGGTTTGCCGATTTTTCTCAGCATGATTTCCCGCCAGATCCGCAGCAGGGCCGTCCAATAGGGTGTGGGCGGTCTAGCTTCTGGAGGATCGACTCCTCATCGATGGTTTCTGCGTCCTGTTTTCGGGGTCCATTCCTTGTTCATCACCCAGAATAGGCCAGACATGTTTGCCGGTGTCGGTACCGGGGCTAGGCCTCTTATGCTGTCCGTGTGCTAGCTGTGCCCAGTTTAGAAAGAATTTTCATAATCCATTTGACTTGGAGGGCGTTGGTTTCCTGCTTGGGGTCTATGATGCCCAGACCCCCTTTGCTTGGTTTTCTCGTAATATAATGCCATGCTATCCTTGGGATACAGTTGGTTCTATTGGGGTCCCCTGACCACAGGTAAGCTCTTGCTTTATGGTTTCTCAATACTCTAAACTAAAAGAACCACGGTCCCACCGTAACGGGCGGACGCAGGCCCAGCGAAAATTGAATCAGGGCCGCGCCGTTCCGGAAGGGGACCCGAGGGGGGGAGAGGCTGGGACCGAGCGGGTACGGGTGCGCATGATCGACGCGGGAGGCGACGGTTGGCGACGCAGGGAAAGGGCCGGGGTGGGGGGGGGGAGAGGGGAACAATTTGCACGGGGCGTGAACCGACACGAGGCTGGGAAAGGGTGGGGAAAGGCGGAGAATTTGCACGGGGCAGTCCACTTTTTCCCCGCGTGTGCTGCTTCTCTCCACGTGCAAAATGAATCTGAATCCACCGCTAGAAGCAGAAAGATATGTTGCCATCGCAATCCGTTTTTTCCCCATGCGCCTTGCTCCTCTCGATGTTCGAATACAAGTGCACACACGTATCCGTGGGCTGATGCGCCTCACCGAAGATTCCCTGCCGCTTTTGGTGCATATCTGTTGAAGGTGTGGGGCCAGGCGATGAACGAAGGGTGCATGCAGAAAGAGCATGCAGGAAGGTGCGGGGCGGGGTGATGCATTTCTGCATAATGTGCAGTGCATTAGGGGTGAGGGGGGAAGGTTGTAATTGGTTCTGCACTTGCAAAGCGCTAAAGAGCAGGAGGTCGGGTATGCAGAAGTAATTGGGTGTGCTGTGAGGGTGGTCGTCTTCATGCGAGAACGGGCTGTGCAGGCAGAACTGATCGTCGTGCTGTCTGAGTTCTGCACGTTGTGATCGGTTCTACATGTGTGATTGTGCTCATGCAAGCGAAATTGCAATCAGACTCGCTTTCTTTTCCACTTCGCATGCATGCAAACAGTTGGCGATTCACACTGGCGCACAGCGCCCACTCCAAACTCAGAGATATGGCAAACAAGAACACAGTTTAAATGTAAACTCGCTTCAACAAACTATGGAGCATCAGCGCCTGCACAACCCCACTCTCGTCAGAGTCGTCACTGCATTCAACACCACTGTTCGTGCTGAATCGTGCACACTCAACTCTGGATCACCCTGAATACACCGCACGCCTCTCACACTCATACACACACTAAAGCCTGTTACGATCCGTGTCATTTCCCAAGTGCAAATTCACAATGAAAGACGATGCCACCCAATTGCGAAAGAAAGTACACCAGCAAGACCAATGACAATTCCCCCTTCTCTCTCCACCTTCCTCCTCCTCCTTCACTTCACCAATCTTATTCTTCACTCAATAATAATAATAACAATGAATGGATGAACCAGAATCAATATCCGAAGTTCCCCCTTACTGCTGACTCAACTCAACAACAACAACAACAACAACAACAAGTCCACCATAGCTATGGCTTCCCTCCTTCAACCTCCTCTCTCATGCATAGGCTATGGCGGACTACCCCCAAGCAGCTAGGGTGCTGCGCTGATGTCCAAGGGACAACCCAAGCAGCWATGGTGCTGCGCTGATGTCCAAAGGACTACCCAAAGCAGCTATGCTGCTGCTGACTTGGTCCGCAATGCYTGACTCTGMCTCGAGCTKCCTTRGTGCCGCACTACCCCAACTGGGGCCTTCCAGATGCAGCGCCCAACAAGGTAATGAAGATGGTGTCTACCATAGCCAGGTAAGTGCCTCGCCACTCTCTCCCTCAACCTCCTTCTTCCTCCTCCTCACACTGGGCTGCTCGCCATAGCCAGGCTGAGCGCCCAGCTGCCTTCACCTCCACCCAGCSCTGTAGCAGACCAGCGCTAGCGCTCCAGCAGCATGTCGCCAATCCTTGCATACCGCAAATGAGGAAGAGCTCTTCGCTCTTCCTGAAGATATAGCGGCCTACCGGCCTCCTGGGCGGTGACTTCCTAGGCCGAGCGGCCTCCCAGCAACCGGTACCTCCTCCCTTTCGGAGGGAAACATCACTGCAGACTCTGTTATTGGCCGGACAGGCCCTAAACCCGGGCTACTTGGACTGGTACCAGCCTACCTCTAGCCTACCGCTACTGGGCCTCTAAAAATGCCAACTTTTGTCTATTTCTGCTCGGCCTACCTGCTACTTGAGTGTTTTTCCCCAGCTGCTCTAAGTGTCGTGGGCCTACCCCCCGCTACCTGAGTGTTTACCCCCCTGCAACCCTCAAAGTCACGGCCACAGGTAAGTACCAGCCCTGCGGGGCCTTGCAAAACAACAAGTACCCTTGCGGGTCACACACACACTCAACCGACAAGCACTCAGACAGGCATGCAAACGGGCAGGCACGCACACACACACAGACTTGGAAAACACAGCAGAATGCGGGAATCACAGCAAGGCATTCATTCCAGTGGCAAATCCCAGAAATCGGCAGTGTTCTCAGTCTGTGTTTTTGGCGGGTCATTACAAGCCTATCTTCTCCCTACCGCGGCTATGGTCGCTCTACTACTAAAGCTATGGCTACGTTGTCTTCTTCGACCCACTTTGACTTCGGGCGCTCTGCAGACCACCTCGCACAAGACGTTGTAGCAGCGCTTCCGCACGGTTTACGCAGCGAATGAATCCATTGTTGGGCGCTGCTTCTTGATTTATACTTCTGTTTGCCGCTGGTCTGCCCCTTTCCACCAGGCCCTGGGTGTGCACAGTCCCACACAGTACTTGCTTGACCGGACTGAGGGTGCCTGGGACTGGTACCACTGACTGCATGAGGTTGCACTCCCTGGTACCGGGCGGTAATCTGTGAATCTGATCCCGGTTCAGTCCTTCGAACGGTCTGCGTGGTCTAAAGGACTTGTGCAACTCATTGGGAGTGCGACAGGTGGATAG